TGACAAAACATTAGCAACATGGTGCTTTGATTGTTAGGCTACATTTCATTTAGCAATCACACTGCTGATTGCACAGCTGAATTGGGCCTAAAAGGATTTGTTGCTGTTAAATGTATTTTTAACTTTAACAAGAGAGATAGTACTAACATCCCTAGCTTTAAAGCCACAAGTACCATTGCCATGCTTAGGCAACCACTGTGATACTCCCATGGCTCCCTCCTGCTCCCACCCACATCTATGCAAGTCAGTTCAGTTAGATAAATTAAATTGTACATGAAGAAGGAAAACCTAAACAATATTACAAAATCTGCTTGGGGTGGAAATCCACCTTATCCAAAGATCCATCAGTTAACAGTGTCCACAGTATGTGTGTGGTTCCTCCCATGAGTCATTCTTCTTTTTAATTGGGCAAGTCCTCCCTCAGCTATGAAGGTCAATGGAGATGCTTTAACCTTGGGGAAATGTTCTGTATGGGTCCTCTCTCCTCCCTGTGTTTTCTCTGTGTTTTGTGTTTTTTTTTTTCTCAGTTAGAAAAAGTACACAAAAAGTGAAAGATGTGAGGGAGGCTCCCAGGATGTTGTAACTGTGGCCACATCCCTATGACAGCCATTGTTAAATTCTGTGACATGATTTAAGAGGTCTAGGTGTCCTCACAGGGCCAACATTGTTGGGGATCCATGGTACTTCTGAGGATAAACCTCAAGATAAATCAACTTGGGACAATAACATCCGACAAAAGGGATCTGCAAATAAACACTGCAACATGGAGTGCCCAACTTAAAACTTCCAGGCACTGAGTCCCATTCTGCTTCCTCTTATGGCCCTTTCACACACAACACAAGGATAGCAACACAACCCCACCTTAACTGACATCACTCCATTCTATGGAATCCTGGAGATTTGAGGTTTGGGGAAGGGTCCTTAGAATTCTCATACAGAGAGCTCTAGTGTTTCAAACTACAAACTCCAGAGTTTCATGGGATGAAATCATGGAGGTTAAATCAAATCATAATGCTAAAACTATGTAGTATGAAAGGAAAGCTGTTTTTTCCCCCCATCTTATAAAGCCGACCTGTACAACTTGGCAGTAGGAAGGGGCCAACATTAAATAGGCTAAACTTCTTCAGGCTGCAGAAAGTTTTAATTAAATATTAATTAATTAATAATTATTAATAAATACTATTTTAAATATTAATTCTGTCCTCCTCCTCCGCCTGTCTCTCTCCTCAGGAGAAAGCTGAGCGATGGAGGAACCTTGCCCATCCTTCTCTTCCTCCATTGGACTTCTCAGGAGAAGGCTGAGCAACAGAGGAGTCATGGGGGCAAGCATTGGCCCCTCTTCATCTTCTGCTACTCACAGGAGAATGTCAGGTGGAGGAGGAGCCTTGTAGGGTGAGTGTTCGCCAGTCTTCCTCCACCGCTATCATCAGGTCTTTTCCTCAGGAGAAAGCCAGATGGCAGAGATGGCTTGTAGGGCAAGTGTTTGCCCGTCCTCCTCCTCCTCCGCCTGGCCTTCTCCTTGGAAGAAAGCCAGGAGATGGAGGAGCCTTGAGGGAAGAGCGTTTGCCCATCCTCCTCTGCCACCTGGCCTTCTCCTCAGGAGAAAGTTGAGGAACAGAGGAGCTTTGTAGGGCGAGCATCCTTCTTCTTCCTCCTCCTCCTCCATATTGCTCTCTCCTCAGGAGAAGGTTGTGCAGTACAAGAGCCTTGAAGCTATTCCACATCTTTGTGGGCCATCCAAATTCCTTTGGCGGGCTTCATTACTCTGTGCTCTCTCCACTTTATGCAACCGCTGTTGTCACCAGAAAGATCGCTACTTTAATATCATGTTTTAACAGCTCAATTTC